GCGTCAGATCACGTGTTCTTTGAGAAGCGTTATTGAAATATTTTTTGCTTAAATTTTCCCATCTGGGGTGATGATCTCAGGAATGTACCATTTGTCAAAACTGATCAGGAAACAGAGGGCAAGCTGGGGACAAAGTATAAGCTGACACCCTGCAATCTCCCCTCCACTTCTAGATGGGAAACGTGTGACATTCTTCCAGGAATTTCCCAACTGTTATTAACATTAACATTAGTGTTAATACCTTGCTAGAGGGAAGAGAACCTTACCTGGACAATGTCAAGACCTCTGTTATCTTGTAAGTACTTTGGAGGTCCGTCCTCTTTAGCATATCAAAGTTCCTTTGAAACCTCCCTTTTCCTTACTACCTACCCCCAGGTCGGGAGTATATACGCTCCTCAAGACAGTGTGTGCTGCAGCAGCTCTTTCTGCACACAGGTCCTGTCCCCGTGCTTTAATAAAACCACCGTTTTGTATCAAAGACGTCTCAATAATTCTTTCTTGGTCCTCGGCTCCCGACTCCACCCCACCAAACCTCACCTACATTCCAAAACCACACTGTTAGTATATTTAAAAATCTTTAATTCATTTCCTCATTGCTACATAAGTATGCATTCTGTGATAGGCTCTGTGTTGGTTATACAAAGATGACTGAAACTAAACTACGGGCTTCAGGAAACTTTAGCTCCTGAGGGAGGGTCGAGGCTTAAGAGTCACTCTGAGATCCAGCGGGAAGAATCCCCTGGGACCCCAGGCACAGTGGGGAGCCTGACTGGAAGCATACTGGTTGCTACACAACAAGCACCAGCCAGTAGGGCCTCTCCCATGGAACGCCCAATCTGAATAATCACTCAGTGAGGACTACAAAGGCTTTCTGGGATTCAGCTGGTGACCCCATGATGTCTAGGTGGTGGACATATAGGTGGTGGGGACTTCAAGGCAAAACTCTACAAAGATGAACATAACTCTGGGAAAAGAGAATTGGGGATGGGTGGTATGTCAGGGCCTACACAGCTATTTCTTATTATGGAGGGCATAGCACTTTTTTTTCTAATTGTATATGTTTATTACTTTGATAAAAAACACACTCTGTCATCAACCTGCTCTTCCCTCCTGTACTCACTGGTACCTGTATCTGGACTGGTCTTACCTTTTTCTTCTCACAGAGAAAGTAGTGTTTTCCTGTCTCATTATCTGTGGCCTAGATCAGTAGTTCTCAGACTCTGCTTCACTTTGTAATCACCTGAGCCATTTAAAAAAATCCAACTGTCTGACCTCACTCAAAGTAATGAAATCAAGTATCTGTGGGTGAAGCTTAGGGATTTTTTAAAGTTCTACAGGTGATTCCAGTGTCCAAGAAGTTTGAGAACCAGCAGTCTAGATTCTTGCTAATCTGAGGTCTACAGAATAGTGGTATCAGCACCACTTGGGAGCTTGTTAGAAATGCAGAATGTCAGGTTGCACTCCAGACTTACTGAAAACATTTTAATAAGACAACCCAGGGATCCAGGTTGAAGTTTATGACTCTTTGGTCTACATGTCACCCCATTCCTTCTCTTTTGGGTATTTCATCACTGCTCCTTCTGCATCTATCAATTTCTTCAGCTGTCTCCACTGATTTCTTCTCCAAACACATTCAATTCCTTTATATAATAAAACAAAACAGAAAAAAAAAAAACCAGAACAAAAAAAATTGAAAACAAAAACTCTAGAGTACTCCCTGTATTCCACTTTTTACTAATTACCTATATTCCCCCCCATTTTCTTCATAATTCATTTTACTGAATATATTATGTACACATTTTCTCCTTTATTTTGGATCCAGTTGTTTATTCATTGTAATCTGGAATCTTCTACCATGACATGGAAACTGCTCTTCAAAAACAGCCAGGAAATTTTAATGGACTAAAATATCCTTATTTTCACTATGTGTAACATTTGAAACTATTGATGTCATTCCATACACAGCCCTTTTAAGCAGTTACCCCTCTAACTTCATGATACTGCTGGAAATACTCATAAGCAGGCTCTCATTGATCTTGATTACTCTAAATCCTAGGTTTTGTCCTGCTTTCCCTCAAAAAATTAATGTAAAAGGTATATTGTAAATATGTTTCAATGAAAATAAATAAAATCTATAATACAAAAAAAAAAAAAAAAAAAAAAGAATAAGCAAAATTCCCAACTGTTCCAAAAAGGCCCACAGCTGGCTGCTGACACTACAAATCTCCCAAAGTGCATCAAGTGGATCAAAGCATGGTTGTGGGGAGGCCTGCAGGGAAAAATGTAAGCAGGCAGGCAGAGTCCACTGTGCCTTTCACAAAATTACATTCCGTACAAACAGTTCTCAGATACTGCTCTTTCTCTGTTTTCCTCCTACTTCTGGCTATACTTTGTACCTTGCGTGTGGAGTTGATCACTCTGTCCGAGTCCTGCTAATTCCACTTTTTAAATATATTTCTGGAGTCTGCATATTTTCACCTTTACTTTTTATTAGAAATTGAAGTTGTATGTACCCTTTATTCAGCAATTCCGCTCCCAGGTATATCCCCCTGTCTAGGCAAACTAGTATCTGTGCACACTGAGACACATAGGGACAAACACAGCAGCACTGATTTTGACAGTAAAAAAGAAGGAACCCTATAAAATTCTTCAACAGGAGAAAGTACAAATAATTATGGTTCACTGGCAGAATATAATAGTCTGCATCAGTGGTTTTCAAACTTCTTGGTCTTGTGATCTCTTTACAATCTTAGAAATTCATCATTTGTCGCATCAGAAATTGAAACAATTTTTTAAAATTTAACTCCTTTAAAAAAGATAACTGAATTACATGTTTATATTATTTTTGTTTAAAACAAACCACTATTTTCTAAACAAAAAAAAAAAACCTTAATGAAAAATAATGGCATTGTTTTACATTTTTTAAATGTCAAATATGCATTTGCTTATTTACTATCTTTAGTCAGAATTCAATGCATTCTGCTTTTGGACTGCCTATAAGAAATAACAGTAGCTGACATTAACTAAGCACTTAGTTTATATGACACATGAATCTCAATTATTCTTTAGAGTAGTCCAGTAAGGTAGGTATTATGATTCTCATTATAAAGATGAGGCAAAAGACCTAAGAAAGGATAAGTAACTTGCCAAAAGTCACATTACCAGTTGGTTGCACAGTAAGGATTCCAATTTAAATGCTCTCACCCACTATGCTATGTTAAACTTGAGTATAACACCATGCAACTGAGGATTCAACAATTAATTGATAATGATGGAGTCAAATTTGCATCTAAAATTCACCAAAGGCTAAATCTAGATTATTAATTTACTTCAACTTAATAGGTGGAGAATGATGCTTAGTGGGTGTTATGGGCCAGGTTGTGCTCCCCAAAATTCAGACAATGAAGTCTGTCTTAGTCATTTGGGCTGCCACAACAAAATACTAGAGCTAGTTATAAACAGCAGAAATTTATTTCTCACAGTTCTGGAGGCTAGGAAGTCCAAGATCAAGATGCTGGCAGATTTAGTGACTAAAAGCCCTTTCCCTGGTTTGAAGACTGTGTCTTTTCACTGTTACCTCATGTGACAGAAAGGGTGAGGGATCTCTGTGGGGTCACTTCTGTAAGAGCACAAATCCCATTCATGAAAGCTCCTTCCTCAAGACCTAGGCATGACCCAGAAGACCCACCTTCTCATACTACTATACTGTCATTAAGTTTCAAATGTGAACTGGCGAGGGGGCAGGGGAAGAGACAACAAACATTCAGACTGTTACAAGGTCCTAACCTCTAGTATCTCAGAATGTGTCCATTTTTGGAGACAGGGTATTTAAATAAGTAATTAAGGTAAAATGATGTCATTATGGTAGGGTCTAAACCAAAATGACTTGTGTCCTTTTAAGAGGAAATTTGGACACAGACAAGTACAGAGAGAAAACCATATAAAAACATGTGGAGAAGATGACCATCTACCAGCCAAGAAAGAGATATCAGAAGAAACCAAACCATGATGTCAGGCTTCTAGCTTCCAGAACTGTGAGGAAATAAATTTCTGTTGAAGCCACCCAGTCTGTAGTACTTTGTTAATGGCAGCCTAGCAAACTAATACAGTGAAGGAATTTGTGAAAGTTTGCTTGGCCACAGGTACACTGCTATAATTTCTATACAGAACCTATAGTTTAAAAAAAAACTAATAAAGTCAATTTTATGTCAAAATATCTGACTTTCAAGAAGACGTCACACTTTTAATACATCATTTTATAATGAAATGTCAATCACATTTTAATATAATGCTGAATAAATCAATGGAATTTATCTTTTATACGTTTTCCTCTCTAAATAATAAATAAGATCAAAATCTTCTAGTAGAAAGAAATTTATAATTTTTTTAAGGATTTTATTTATTTATTTGACAGAGAGAGAGATCACAACAAGGCAGAGAGGCAGGCAGAGAGAAAGGGGGAAGCAGACTCCCTGCTGAGCATAGAGCCTGATGTGGGCCTCGATCCCAGGACCCTGAGACCATGACCTGAGCCGAAGGCAGAGACTTAACCCACTGAGCCACCCAGGCACCCCATATACTTTCTAATGGTAAGATCACCAGTACTTTTAAATCAAAATCAAATCTAACATTAATTAAGGGAAAATTTAGATAAAATCACTAGACACAGATAAACTGACTTTCTAATCTACCCAGGAAATTATTTTTCAATTGCAGATAAACAATCTACATATGGCAAATTTAGGATTGAAAAAACTGAAAAACAGAATTTTGGTATCTCCTGAGAATCCAAATCAAGGATTTAGAAATGGGACACCATAAAGAATAGTAAGATTTATATTATTAGTATATAATCTAGTAATTGTATCACATATTTAATATATTACACATAATCAGAATTATTATAATCCCTTTTATACAACAGTAATACAGATACTATTATACTATATAATAGCTCAGAAGTACATAGCATACGAAGAAAGTCACAGAAGTATTTAATAGTTAATTTTATCTCAACCTTTATTAATGAATCCACATATAATGTTTCCACATACTGCTTTCAATCACTTTTTATTAATTGCTTCCAAAAACCGCAACACATGCATGAAGAGGTTGATGACATCCAAGTAGAGGCTGATGGCAGCTAATACATACTCTTCAGGTGACAGCCTATGCATCAATGAGTGTGTGTCATAGATGATGAATCCACAGAAAAGAAGGGCTCCCGTGGCAGCCAAGACCAACTCCATTGTTTGACTATAGAAAAATAACTATAGGCAAGAAATTAATAAGTTTATATTTAAGAATCCTATTAAGAATACTTAAGTTACTTGCTCTTGAGTTACATATAGCTATATATATATTTAATAATGTTTTACAGTTTGAAATGCAAATGTTAAAAGTAGAAAAAGACAAGGCAGGTTCATCATCATTTCTGTTGGATGTAAAGATGAATGGATGAATTCATTACATCCTTTCTATGCCATTACCCACAACTCTGAACAGCAGCATTCCAAATATAAATTATTTAAAAATATATTTCTTTTTCAGAATTGTATGTGCCACTGGGAGGTTAGTAATTACAAGTAAGGGCCTCTTTCTCTGTAATTTAAGTCACACGTTCATCTTTCTCTCAATCAATAATATTAACATAAGATTTTGATGTTTTTAAGATTATTTTTCACAACTCTATATAAAAATGTTCCAGATAATTATAACTAAGTGTCCTAGCATAAGAGTACCTCTTACAGTTTTTGAGATTATTTATAGTGACATGGCCAGAATTATAGTTCAAGTTACCAATTTAAAACAACTTACCTTCAAGATTCCTGACAAGCACAAAATCCATAAAACAGCAAACAGTCTATAAAAACAAAATATTAGTAATTTAGAATATTGTTTCTTTACAAGCTATGTAAATGGATGTAACATTTACTGAAGAAATAAATCCATCCTGGTATTTGCCAAAGAATAAGTAAAATATAAGAGTTCATAAACATACAATGAAATCTACAAATACTCAGAAACTGAAAAAACAGCCATCCACTCAACATTTGTTTTTATGGTGAACAAAACTAATTGAAAGTACCATTTTTAAAGTTTTTGACTGGAATACAAAGAAAATATTGATATAAGCAGAAATATCACTAGAAACATTTTAAGACAAGGACCTAGAAGACTTCTAGAAAATATATACATGAACAAATGAAAGATAACTGCATTTTTAAACCAAATAACAACAGCAAATTAGTCTGTGAACATGCATATCTGTTAAAGTCCCCCATGTACTCCCTATTTTATTTTAATGTATTATAGAAATTAATAGACACAAATAATAAATTTGCCACTGGTATAATGAGTTACCACTCATATATATTATATATAATGTATAGTTATTATAATAAAAAGTATTAATATATGACAAAGGACACCTAAGCAATCAGTCCTTTGTTATCAAATATGTCTTACAAGCCCACACACCTGCTGCTTCAGACCACAAGGAAGTACTGGGGTCAAATTTACCCTCCCTCCTTACATAAAAACCACACCAAACATATGACTGAACAGCAGGCAGCACAGTACAGTAATTCCTGAGATAAGGGAAGCAAGGAAGGTAAGCTCTGTACCTGACCCAGCTACAAAGTGTTTCCAGACCATGAGAACCCATATGAAGCCCCACAGTCTCCCTGAATTGAGATGGTGAGAATTCAGAGGTCAGAGAGGCCACAGGGGGCTAGAATTTGTAGAGCAAAGTCCCAGAAAGGGGAAAGCTATAAAGAGAGCTAGCTAGCTCTGGTGATATGCAGAGAATTCCCTTCAAGTCGTTAGCTGAGCACAGATTAATGCATACATATGAAGAAGTGACAAAGCCTGCGGGAAGAAACACCATGGAGAAGCAGGCAGAACAATCCTCAAAGCCCATACAGGGCCAGAAATAGTTCATGTCCACCCCAGCCAAAGTGGAAAGACTTCCTAAGACGTGGGGCTTTGAATAATTCTTAGAAAGTTACTGTCTCAATAGAGTGGCCAGATTCGCCCTCACCTAAATGTTGTTCTGGACCCACCTAACAAGTGTGTAAAAGCAAGCGTCAAAAGGTTCAGACAGTTTCCAAGGAACGTAACAGATTTCTAGAAGAGTAAAACCAACATATTTAAAGGAAAACAAAAAAACTCACTACCCAACAATATAAAATTTACAATGACCAGCATCTAATAAAAAATCGTAAGGCATGCAAAAGAATGAGGAAATATGACCTATGAGAAAAATTAGTCAATAGAAACAAATTCAGAAATGACACAATGATAGAATTAGTAAACAATGACTTTAAAAAAATATATATTCCGTATGTTCAGGAAGGTAGAGGAAAGCATCATCATGAGAAGAAAAATGGAAGACATATATTTTTAAAAGACACAAATTAAATTTCCACAAATGAAAAATATGTCAAATGAAAAATATTCTGGTTGGACTTATAGACACTGAAAAAGAAAAGATTATCAAACTGAAAAGAGCAATAGACATTGACCAAAATGAATCCCAGAGAGAAAACGGGGCGGGGCGGGGGGGATAAACTGAGCATCCCATGAACCACAGGACAACATCAAGAAATCAAGAAGTCTAACATATATGCTGAAGTCTCAATAGAGAGGAGAATGAAGGGGTACATAAAAATGTTTGAAGAAACAATTCCTAAAAATGTTCCAAGTTTGGTGAAAACTTTAAACTGATAAATCCAAGGGCCAGAAGAAACATGAAAAAAACCACACCGAGGAATATGATAATCAAATTACTAAAAATGTTAATCAAATTACTTAGAAAATATGAAAGGTGGCTGGAGGATAAAAGACACAATGTACCAAGAACAAAGATAAAGAAAAAAGACTTCTTGTCAGAAAATATATAAACCAGAATACTAAGGAATGGCATCTTTAAAATACTGAAAACAGAAAAAAAAAAAAAAAAGACCTAGAATCCTACACTCAGCAAAAATAACAAATTCAAAAACAAAGTTGAAATAAATATTTTTTTCGGACATGCAAAAGCTGAGATCAAGACACCACCCAGCACTATAAGAAATATTAAAAGGGGGCACCTGGGTGGCTTAGTTGTTAAGCGTCTGACTCTTGGTTTCAGCTGATGTTGTGATGACCTCAGGGTTATGAAATCAAGCTTCCCATCAGGCTCCTTACTGGGATGGAGTCTGCTTAAGATTCTCTCTTTCCCTCTTCCTCTGCCCCTCCCACCACCCCCCAACTTATGTGCATGTGTACTCCACCCCCCCTTTAAAATAAATACATAAATAAAATCTTTTCAAAATAAAATAAACATTAAAAGGAAATTGTTCGGGCAGAAGGAAATACAAGATGGAAATGTGGATTGACACAAAGAAATGGAGAACAGAAATGACAAAGTAGTGGGTGAACATAAAAGACTTCAACTATTTTTAAATCTCTTTAAAAGATAATTTAATGTGGGCACCTGTGTGGCTCAGTGGGTTAAAGCCTCTGCCTTCGGCTCAGGTCACAATCCCAGGGTCCTAGGATCAAGCCCCGCACCAGGCTCTCTGCTCAGCAGGGAACCTGCTCCCCCCATCTCTCTCTGCCTGTCTCGCTGCCTACTTGTGATCTCTGTCTATCAAATAAATAAATAAAATCTTTAAAAATAAAAAAAAGGTAATTTAATGTTTAGAACAAAAATAATATTATGAGGTGTATATGTGAAACTAAAAGTCATAGCCACAATAGCACAAAGGTAGGGGAGAGGAGATGTAACTATGCTCTACAGGAAATGGTATATATTATTTCCAGGTAGACTATGGTGATCTAAAGATATATAGGGATGCCTGGGTGTCTTAGTCGATTAAGCATGTGCCTTTGGCTCAGGTTATGATCCTAAGGTCTTGGGATTGAGTTCTGCATCTGGTTCCCTGTTCAGCATGGAGCCTGCTTCTCCCTCTGCCTGCATGTCCCTCTACTTATGCTTGCTCTCTCTCTCTGACAGATAAATAAAATCTTACATGTATATATGTATTTTTTAAGATTTTATTTATTTGATTGGGCGCCTGGGTGGCTCAGTGGGTTAAGCTGCTGCCTTCGGCTCAGGTCATGATCTCAGGGTCCTGGGATCGAGGCCCGCATTGGGCTCTCTGCTCAGCAAGGAGCCTGCTTCTCTCTCTCTCTCTCTCTCTCTCTCTCTCTGCCTGCCTCTCCGTCTACTTGTAATCTCTCTCTGTAAAAAAAAAAAAAAAAAAATTAAAAAAAAAAAAAAAAAAAAAAAGATTTTATTTATTTGAGAGAGACAGACACAGAGAGAGAGGGAACACAAGCAGGGGGAGTGGGAGTGGGAGAAGCAGTCTTCCCACTGAGCAGGGAACCCAACGCAGGGCTCAATCCCAGGACCCTGTGACCATGACCTGAGCCAAAGGCAGATGCTTAATGACTGAGCCACTCAGGTGCCCTATATATATATATATATATATATATATATATATATATATATATATATACACACATATATAAAAATGCACACACACACACACACGTATATATAAAAATACACACACACACACACACACACACCCTGTAGGGGCAGCTGGCTGGCTCAGTCCATTGAGCATGCAACTCACAGGTTCGAGCCCCATGTTGTAGAGATCGTTTCAATAAAAAAACTTTAAAAATCTGGAGGAAGAAGAAGAAGAAAGGAAGGAAGGCAGGCAGGCAGGCAGACAGGCAGGCAGGCAGGCAGTATGCTGTTTACAGTGTACAGTATAACCTAGAGTAGTGCTTATTTAAAAGAGCTATAGCTAATAACTAATAAAGGAGATAAATCAAATCAAATAATCCAAACAGAGGAAAAGAGGTACAAAGAACAGATGGGACATACAGAAAGAAACCTAACGGCAAGATCGGAGGCTTAAATCCAACCAGATCAATAATAACATTAAGTGTCAGTGGTCAAAACATTCTAAGAACAGAGATGATCAGACTGGATAAGAAAAAAAAAAGCAAGAGCCAACCATACGCTCCCTATAAGAAAACTATTTTAACTATAAAGCTACAAAGAAGCTAAAAATAAAAGGGTGGAAAATGATATACCATGTTAATGCAATCAAAAGAAAGCTGGAGTAGCTATATTAATAACGTAAGTTTCAGGGCAAAAATATTACCAGAGACAACTACTTCAAAATGACAAAGGAGTCATCAAAAGGACATAACAATCCTAACTGTTTATGCATCTAAAAACAGAACTTCGAAATAACATGAAGCAAAACTTACAGAAATGCTAAGAGAATCACACTCTAAATCCGTAATTGTAGTTGGAAATTTCAGTATTGCTTTGACATTAACTGGCACAATGAGCGTGCAGGGATTACGAATTGTGCAGGATACTTAAATAATACTATCAACCAACTTGACGTGATTGACGTTCATCACTCGTCCAACAGCAGCACAATATATTATTCTCTTCAAAAAACATTTACCAAGTACCACAAAATGAACCTCACACTAAATGTTATGGGACTGATAACAAGCAAAATATGTTATTTAACAACACAAAAATAAAATCAGAAATTAAGTATACATAGTATTGTAGTCGCACGCGGTGAACTGAGGGCATGGTGAGGTTCCAGCTGTCAATTCTCATGCTGGAACAGCCACAGAATTTCTCTGGATACATGTGGAATACCTACTTAGAATGAAGTATCATGCCACCACATAGTATAGGTCCTTCAGGATTAAAATGGACTCAGGACTTACTTGGACTGACTGACTTACAGGACTTACTTTTTCATACTTAAACTGCACCAAGGAGTGTGGGGAAGGTGGTACTAGGAACTATAACGTATCTGTGGTTTTACCCTACTCTCTGGATGCCTGCACAAGATAGAGGAACACCGGGTCGGTGGAAGAAGTCGATCACAGCAATAGCAGCTCTTAATGAACAAGCACAACAGAGAGGTATTGTGGGCACAAAGAAATGAGAGAGCTAGTAGAAGGCGTAAGAAAGAAAGTCAGTCACTGGCATTTAAGATTTCTTCAGCACAACAATCTCTAGTGGTAACAAGCTCCACGATGCAGCCATGGCAGGGAAATGAATAGTTGCTCAAGAAGAGCTCCAGTTCAAAAAAAAAAAGAGCTCCAGACACACTGAGAAGCCAAGGTGACAGATGGGCCTCACATGTAGTTCAATGCTAAAGTCTTTAAAGAAGGAGGATGGGCTAGGGCGCCTGGCTGGCTCAGTGGAAAAGCCTGAGACTCTTGATCTTGGGTTGAGAGTTCGAACCCCATACTGGGTGCAGAGGTTACTTAAAATTAAAATTAAAAAAAAAAAAAAAAAAAAAGAGGGAGGCTTGAACAAAGGGCATCAGTGGCAGTAATGGGGAAGATTGGGAAATGTGTACCCAGATACTCAAATGTTAAAACATAAGCCTTAAAGCATTGAATTTCCAGCATGCTAAGGAAATAATGAAAGCACAAGGAGACTGGCGCAGTTTTCAATACTAACCCCCCACTCGAAACTACACAGGGTGTGGGAGAATGAGCAGCTAGAGAACAGTGTTCTCAAGGAGGAATCAAGTTTCAGCTGAAATAAGAAGAAAGAATATTATTAATATTATTATTTTTAGGATTTTATTTATTTATTTAACAGACAGAGATCACAAGTAGGCACAGAGGCAGGCAGAGAGAGAGGGAAGCAGGCTCCCTGCTGAGCAGAGAGCCCGATGCAGGGCGCAATCCCAGGACCCTGAGATCATAACCTGAGCCGAAGGCAGAGGCTTAACCCACTGGGCCACCCAGGTGCCCCAAGAAAAAAGAATATTATTAAGAGATTGAAATATAGGCAAGATTGTTTACTAGAATGGGATTTCTAGAGACTATACTAGAATGGATGGGAAGAAGCAAACAGCAAATCTCCCATCATATATACCACATGAATGTGTATCCCCTCCAAAACACGAAAAGCAAGAAGTAAAAAAACTGCTGACTCTCCTGACATCACACTTCATTCTAATACAACTAGTTAAGCATCTTGCACAATTGTTAGTGTTGGCTGACCACTTATATTTTATCGCAATAGAGACTTCTGGTAATCTGGATTACCAGGGGGAAAGGGGGAAGAAAAAATGTTTTGCAAGAGCTTTTGTAAATTTTTAGTGTTGTAACAGGAAAAAAAACCAGAAGATGTTGACTAAACGTCAACAGGAAGCCATTGTGAGCTTAGAAAGGAGTATACACATTCTTACCAGGTGAGGGCAACACTGTATCATTATCCTAACATAAAAAGCTTCACCCTGTATATTTACTAGTTTGAAGAAAAATACAGGTTAATCTACATAGGTCAAGAAGTTTTTAAAGATCATGCAGATATCACCATCACCTGGGTTATTTACCCTATTTCTGCCAAAGAAGTGGATGGTCTTGGTAATATTTATGTTAAGACAAAGACCTACATAATGTAGGCAAGTTCTATAGCATTCATAGAGCATACAAGCCTAGCCTCTCTAGAAAACTGGGGAGATTTTTTTGGGCATTCCCTTCCTTTTCAATATAGAGCGGAAGCAAATGACTCAAAGCCACCTTCCATCTCCTTGTATGTTCTCAAAGTATAGAGCCTGGCTTTAGTTAGTACTCAGAGAGATGTCCTCTCATCACCCTCCATTTTATTTTTATTTATTTATTTTTTTTAAAGATTTACTTATTTGAGAGTGCACATGCACTAGAGAGAGAAATGTGAGTGGCGGGCGGGGCCAAGGGAGAGGGAGAGAGGGAATCCCAAGTAGACTCCCTACTGAGCACAGAGCCCCACTCCCAGGCATTCATCTCAAAACCCATGAGATCATGACCTGAGCAAAAATCAGGAGTTGTGCACTTAACCAACTAAGCCACCCAGATGCCCCTCATCACCTTCCATTTTAAAAGACAATATCCAAAGCTAAAGGTACAGCCCTTCTCTTAGGATGACCTATAATATAATGTTAAAGATATTTATCTATCATAGCTATGAATATATAACTTACCCTGCTCCAAATTTGCTGAAATCTCTCTTAGATTGCAGAGTATACATAGTCAAACCAAGAAATACAGCAGTAGTCAGTATAAACGCTTGCAGAACAATATATACATCATAGAAAGTAACTGTAAAATTAAAAAAACACTGATTAAAAATGCATTTAAACATACTCTATTTAAAACGGCTTTTTTCCTGGCGTTTAACAGAAATGCTATACTTGCTCCTGTACTACTTGTGAATAAAATTAATTATGAAAATATTCCTTATTCAGCCTTTAATACTGATACAGTAAAAACTACACTCATACTGCAATAAACAGTCATTCACACAAAATAAGGTAGTCACATTATTATGAAGCTAAAGAAATGACTGGAGAGGGAGGACATAGCCAGCAGGTTTGGAGTTTGAGGGATATGGTAGAATGACTCTCATCTATCTCTGTCCCTGCTTCATTTTATTACCATTTGTGGTGACTGTTCTTTATGACTTAAATATCAATAGGGATGACTCTCAGTCCTGTGACTGGCTGGGAATTTCTGGGCAGTAGCAGCAATTTTAGCAATCATCTGGTTAATTGCATACCCAATTCATCAGTCCAATCAAAGAAACTAGGCAAGGTTACCATTCACCAACCCTGCAGAGAACAGGAACCAACCACTAATTGCTTTACATCCAAAAATGCATACGATGAATACATAATTGGGGGTTTCTCGAATACATAACAAATTCCCTTCTCAATTTTTAGAATGAATATCTAGATTGACTGTGTCTATTTTAATTATAATACACCTGCTTAGCATTTTAAAAAAAGGCTACATCCTAACCCCTTTAAAGGAAGTTAAGTGCTTTGAACCCAAAGCCATTTAAATAATTTTTAATCTGTCAAGGTTTAATTTCTATTCCTAAATACTATATTCCTGGACAGGATTAGGAAAGTGAATGCAGAAATGAAAAATCAAGAGATTATTTTGCTTGTCACCAATTTAAGTGTAGGATTAGGTGGAAGGGATATTATAATTAATGAGGAAAATAATATTCTCAGATTACCCCATCTATATATTTCTACCCCCAATTCCAATAACTCTGAAATAGATCTCTCTCCTTTATCTTTTACAAATGGTGGGAGCCAAGGAGGACAGAGATGGACTTGATGATAACATTAATAGATAGTAACATTAATAAGTAAATATTAATAACACTTCCTTTCTATGCTGAAAAATTTCAGTTCTATTTAATAGATATTATTACTTATATTACAGTTCCTTTACAAAAGGAATAAGTGAATTACCAAACAATATATAGATTTAATAAAACTGGCATAGAAAGGTTAAAAGCAGTAATGACAAAAGGAAAAGATAAATATATGAAACTGAAATATATGCAATTTACTGTTATTGACAGTTAACAGTTCATTCTAACCTTTTTTGTACCCCAGGTTAATCATTTGAGACAATCTGAATCTTTATTGTTAATAAAGCATGAAATTTTTTACTTGAGACATTACATATGGTACATCAAACAACTGTAACACACACTTCCTTTCAAATACAAATTTAACATAAAATATACAGTAGAAATTACCAAGTCTCTTATGGGGCCATCTGATGAAATACGAGAATATGTAATAAAGCACAGTTCAGTGCAGCAATTTGAGAGGCTGGACTCTGTACTGATGATACATGGCTCAAAATATATTTTATCAGTTCCTTTGAGATCCCTCTAAATTAGGGAGAAAAGATTAGCTACAGTTGTCTTGTTTTCATAAATGGATAAACACACATGAATATTATTCTCATTATTTTCCTAGTTCTTTTCCACTTCCTCTAAGCTTAGTTGAACTAAGTATAAACATTTAATTTTGCATATATTTTATGAATTCTTCATCTTATGCTATGTATTTGAAATGTAATATCCCATGATATTAAGCTTTAGTCCCGAACACCTTTCAACTCAAGATTTATCTACACTGAAACGTTATTGTAACATACAGAAGCACAATTATGACTTACCAACAAAGGCCACAGTCAGCGCTTCGAATAGCGTCTAAAAAAAGAAACTAAAATTACATAAATGCACATAAATGTTTACACTATGTCATATACATGTTCTAATTTTTTTTTTAAGATTTTATTTATTTATTTGACAGAGATCACAAGTAGGCTGAGAGGCAGGCAGAGAGAGAGAGAGGAGGAAGCAGGCTCCCTGCTGAGCAGAGAGCCCAAGTTGGGGCTCCATCGCAGGATCCTGGGATCATGACCCAAGCCGAAGGCAGAGGCTTTAACCCACTGAGCCACCCAGGCACCCCGATGTTCTAATTTCTAAGAGTTCCATGTGATTCCATATGTATGATCTCTCTTTAGCTTCAAAGCAGCCTTGTGAATTATAGGGGACACATGATACGCCTACCGTAATAAAAATGAGACCTCAGTGTATGGAGTGAGAAGACTTAGATTCTAAGAGTGATCCTATCACTCTTTAAACCCTAACTAGATTTTTTATATTTGTAGCAGGAAGATACAGAAATAGTATGGGAAATTCTATTTTTCTCACTCTGTGTAAGTAAATAATGAAACTGCAAATGATATGCATGTTCATAAAACTCCAATTTCACACATAAACATAGAAAGAATAAAATATTTATGTAGCACTTTAGTGTGGCAGTCCTGAAACTGCCTCCCAGTGTTCATTCTCTTTCTTCCCTAGTAACAGAACTTTTACCTGGACACATAGCTATTCAGATTAAACATTACATTTCTCAGCCTTCCTTTTAGCTACCTCTGGTCACAGGACTTTATTCTAGCCAACAGAATGTGTGTGGGGAGGGGTACAAGTACTAAAAGCAAAGTGGCTGGGGCGCCTGGGTGGCTCAGTGAGTTAAATTCTCTGCCATCAGCTCTGGTCATGATCCCAGGGTCCTGCGATGGAGCCCCAACTTGGGCTCTCTGCTCCGCAGGGAGCCTGCTTCCCCCTCCCTCTCTCTACCTGCCTCTCTGCCAACTTGTGATCTCTGTCAAATAAATAAATAAAATCTTAAAAAAAAAAAAAAAAAGCAAAGGGGCTTGCTCTCCCTTTTCTCTTCTCATTTTTAAAAATAACTGGATGGCATATGGCTATGGTGGTGAGCTATCTTATGCCATACACTGCTTCAGGAGTCCTTGAACCATAGCAGGTACCTGAACCCCTAATAACTTCACTACACAATCATGCAGATTTTTACACGAAAAAGAAGCAAACCATCTTGTTTCACCCATGTCATATGTAGCTGAACTCATATCCCAAATAAAAGATTTAGGAATGTTGAATTTTTATCCTCTAGCTTCTCTGTCTCCTTAACTACATACCTTTATTTTGTTTTAAATGTTTATTCTAGGGACGCCTGGGTAGCTAAGTCAGTTAAGCATCCAAGTCTTGATTTCAGCTCAGGTCATGAACTCAGGGTCCAGAGATCAAGCCTCACTTCAGGCTCCATGCTGAGCATGGAGTCTGCTGAGATTCTCTCCCTCTCCTTCTGCCCCCCACCCCGCTCTCACACATTCTCTCTCTCAAAAAAAAAAAAAAATTAATAAATGCTTACTCTAGTTAGATTTTACCAACTACCTGAGAGACCATATCATAAAGGCAAAGCCAGAAGTAACATCAGTGGCTATGTATTCATACTCTTGGTAGAAGCACTCCTTCTAACTTTCCCTACCTGAAATCAAGAAACCTATCAGAACTAGAGCAAAAATGGCATTAGAAATTGTACATGGATGTGGAGGCAATATTTTGTCATGATGTCGTTGACAGTGTCAAGGAAGTGGTAGCAAAAGACGACAGAAATATTTTTTTTTCTGGAAAAATAAAATTAAACCTCATTCTTGGCATTTGTGACATGATTTTAGGTAAGAAATCCTACCCCATACTCAAGTATCCAAAAGAAACAGGAGAGGATGAACAGGAGAAAAGGTAATACTAGGAAAACATACCACCACCCCAAAACAGTACTCAGGAAACAAAAGAACCTAAGATTTAAATGAATAACCTTTCCTATAATTGAAATTTCTGAAATCATGAGCTTTTCTTTCATCATATTAATATAAACTTGTTACCAGAATTCATAAACTTTCTTAAGATTAAAGCAAATGAATCTAGTAAATAGCATTTTCACTCTTGACTATAAATATTATAAATATTAGTTTGAAATATTTTGAAGTAAATTTTTGGTTAGAACCCAAAGTCATACTGGATAAGAGAACAAGAAAAATAATTTAAAAAACATGTAACTTGAGCTTTACCAACTTATTCTGGTCATATTACAGGATTGGGTTTTTATACACAGTGGTCTGGGTTTTCATTTTCACAAATATCTAAATAGACATGACCTAAAGTTAAGTTCCCCACTCATGATTTTAAAACATACTAGTAGAGCACATCGATTGAGCAAAGAGGTTCTTTAAAAGAACAGAGTACTAAGATAAAAAATAACACTGAGGAATTAATCATAAAGATTTTACTTTAAGGTCTATGAAATTACGGTTACAATTTTTTCCCAAGAAAATCACAGAATATTAGGGGTTCAAAGTATCACAGAGATAATCCACTTTAACACGTCCATTGTACATACAAGCAGACTTAGGTACAGAAACGCTAAACACCCTGCCAAACGTCACATAACCAGAAAGTGGCAAAGCCAGGTCATGAGATCCCACTTCACTACTTTTTTCTACTATACCATTATTCACAGAAAAAAAACTCCGAAACCGACAAATGTTAAAAATTCTAAAATTAATTATAATTTCCTAAAATATTTGTTTATTAAAAACATTAATTTTGTTCTGCTATTATGTATGTATTTGCATTCAATTAAATAAATAAAGTTTAAACAGAAATAAACGTTAAAGTAAAAGATATTGTCAAAATACTCACAAATCCAAAAAGCAGGTACAGGTTAAGGGGATGCTTATGTCTGTTTACAGTCAATACTAAAATCAAACTCAAAGATCCAAGGGCAAACACCAAAATTAAGGCAGGACTGAAAGACAAAATTGAAAACATTTTTAAGTTTAAAAACAGCCTGAATGGCTCAGTGGGTTAAGCCTCTGCCTTCAGTTCAGGTCATGATCTCAGGGTTCTGGGAACAAGCCCCGCATTGGGCTCTCTGCTCAGTGGGGAATCTGCTTCCCCTTCTCTCTCTCTCTGCCTGTCTCTCTGCCTACTAGTGATCTCTCTCTCTCTGTGTCAAATAAATAAATAATAAATAATAAATAAATAAGATAATATAAATAAGTATATTTTATATATTATAATATAAATAAATAATATAAATATAAATTCAGAATTAATAAATAACCTTAAAAATAGTATAAATAGTATTGATCAATTTAATAAAATTGACCAATTTAATAAAATAGTAATAACCAATTTAATAAAATGTTTTATTTGTTTGTGAAGGTAAGAAAAGGAAATCTGGAAGAAATGACACCAAACTGTCCAAATAAATGATTTTTCCATTCAGGGAATGTGAGGACTGTGAGCTGGGCAGGAAAGCAAGACAAAGAAAAGAGCCCACAATGAATAAGGAAGACTTTTCCTTTTTACTTCATGAACTTCTTTCGTATTTGAGTGATTTTTACAATTACCATACTGTTTTTAACAGAAATACAATAAAGAATAACTATTAAACAGTAAGTAAATTTTATATACATTTACTATATAGCTGTAATCTAAATTAAAGAACTTGAGCCCAAAGAGCAAACTCATTTTTTTTTGTAGGGGGAGGGATGATAGAAATTGTCTACTTCCAGGAAAATATTCACTCCTTATTTTTCCTTTAATATACAAAATCTATACAACTTTTAGCCATGGAAATCATCATTTTGGAGGTCAGATCCTTAACAAATTAGGGATGAACCATACAAAGCTCCTTTTTCTCAGTGAAATTTCTCAGTGAAATTATCTTAGTCATGAGCCAACATTAAGAAAAATTACATATACGTTTATTAAGTACCTTTATTTTTCAAGCAGTCTTAGGCTTGGGGGACTAGGCATAGGTGTAATAAAAGCAAAAAACAAATAAATAAATAAAACTTCAAATAGTTGCATACAGTAAAAATTCTTACTACTACCTGAGGAGATGAAGGTTTAAACCTACAAAACTGTAAGCTAAAAAGTTCAGAGGTAAATACCATGTTGCAAGAACATTTTCTCAAAACTAGTCTTCTGTGTAAGAGTTAATAATGAATGTTTTTTACATTCTAACCTCAGGAGTTAATAGAAAAAAGAAAAGAACTTTGCTTATAATATGGCCTTTCGATCATAAGCAGCAGCTGGAAAGGTTTCAGAATCATCAGCTTACCTTTCATGTACAACTGTCCGTATAGACTCAAAGTATAAAAAAAAAGCAGCTGTCACTGTAGTTAAGAGAACTTGCAGAGAAAGGATGCTGTAGACTTTTCTTAGAAAGGCTGAAAAAGAAAAATAATTATACATGATTATTTTCTTAAGCATTTATCATAGAACAGCAAGATCAAATCTCCTCTTAGAAACATTAAACTTTTATATATAATCTTTAAATCTTAATCCAAATAATGTAGTCTAAAACTTAAACTAAACAACAACCCAAAAAAAAACAAGAAAAACACTTCCGAAGAAATCACAAATTGTAAATAAGCGTGAGTTTAAAAAAAATTAATAGCCCTGGGACCCCTGGGTGGCTCAGTGGGTTAAGCATCTGCCTTCAGCTCAAGTCATGATCCCAAGGTCCTGAGATAGAGCCCTGCATCAGGTTCCCCACTCAGCAGGAAGCCTGCTTCTCCCACTCCCTCTGCCTACTGTTCCTCCTGCTTGTGCTATCAAATAAATAAGTAAAATCTTAAAAAAAAAAAATTAATAGCCCATAATGAAAATGTTTTCAGCAATGGGGCACCTGGCTGACTCAGTCAGTAGAGCATATGACTCTTGTACTTGGGGTTGTTGTTCAAACCCCCTGTTGGATGCAGAGCTTACTTTAAAAAAAAAAAAAAAAAAGAAAGAAAGAAAAGAAAATGTTTTCATCAAAATAAAAAGTATAAAACAAATATTTGTACACAGCAGCATACAACAAAGCAAAAAGATTAAAAATAGAACATTTCTAAATAACAAATCTATCTTGAGACTGAAAACCAGGAAGACATATGATTAGACATAAATTTTAAAAAGAAATCCAAATTTCCAAGCAGTACAAATGCTTCCTCAAAATGAAAACTTATCCCTAAAAGGCAAATAATATATAAACTTACTTTTACTCACCTCCTTTTATTTCTCACATATAGTGCCTCTAGTTTCTTCTACACAAAAGAATTCTTACTTTCAGTGTATTTTATTATTAACATCCGTAAATCAACTCTAAGGCCTAACGATTGAAAAACTTAGTAAAGTCATCTGCCATACAGATGACATAAATACGGTGAACACCCAACTCACCACCAATTTCAGAAAAAAAGACATTGTTTCCAACTCCTCTATGTACACATACTGATAATAACATCCTTTTCCCCTCACCCCCTTAGCTGCTAATCTTTCAACATTCAGCCTTTCTCATTTCCCCAGTTTGAATTAAATGCTCCTTCTGTTCCCAGGAGACCCTGAACATACATCTAATTGCTTCATTTTATAATTAATAAGCCTACTGGCCATTAACTCTCATTAAACTCTAAAGACTAAAAACCTCCCTAATAACAAGGAACACATCTCACTCATTTTTGTACCCCAAACACCCAGCCAAGTGGATGGCACACAATACTCAGTACATTTTATTTGCTTTTAAATATTATGTACCATATTATGTACCTCACATAACTCAAACCTATTCCATATATTTTCTCAATTAAGCAGTGAAAATTAATGTTAATTTTTACCATTTCGTGGAACTGTTCCATAGTTCAAAATAGTATATTTAATGTTTATTTGGATATGGGTGTGTGCACACAAGTGCATATGTACTGAAAGTGTGGAAGAATATACACTAAGGTATTAATAATGGTTTTCTCTGAGCAACATGACTGAAGATGATTTGCATGTTCAGTTCTTTGCTAATCTGTGTTTTTTATATATCACCAGTAAATATTTATTACTTTTGCAATAGAAAAACATTTTAAAGAAACCTGTGCTAAGCTGGGGCACCTGGCTGGTAGGTCAAGAGAATGTGACTCTTGATCTTGGGGTTGTAATTTCAAGCCCTACACTGGGTATACAGATTACTTAAAATATTTTTTTTTTTTTTTTTTTTTTTTTAATTAAAGAAGGGTGCCTGGGTGGCTCGGACGTTGAGCATCTGCCTTTGGTTCAGGTCATGGTCCTGGAGTCCTGGAATTGAGTCCTGCATCGGGCTCCGTGCTCGGTGGTGAGCCTGCTATTCCCACTCCCTCTGCCTGCCACTCCCCCTGCTTGTGCGCACTCTCTCTCTGTGTCAAATAAATAGAATATTTTTAAAAATTAAAAAATTAAAGAAACCTGTGCTAAGCCAATAAATTCATATTCATAAAAATAATCCTTATGCCAATATTCTAGATTTCTAGACACTTTTTAAAAAGGACCTTAGCAGCACCTAAGTGGCTCAGTTGGTTAAGCTTCTGACTCTTGATTTCAGCTCAGGTCACGATCTCAGCGTTGTGAGATCGAGCCCATCAGGCTCTGCACTCAGTGAAGAGTACGCTTGAGATTCTCCCTCTCCCTCTGCCCCTTCCCCCACGTGCACGTGGGCATGTGCACTCTCTTTCTAAAACAAATAAATCTTTAAAAAATAAAATAAAAATTTAAAAGGACCTTTAATCAGATCCAAAGGAAAAGCAACATGGGACACCCATTTTGAATAACTAATACAAAACGTGGCACAGGCTATACATACTTAGCTCACAGAGCAAAATAAAAAAGCCAAGAGGAAAAGAATATAAACCAAACAGCAATTATCTTTCAATTTACTCCTGATCTCTCCCCCTGCTACTTTTATTGCCCCTTTTCTTCTACTCAAACTTAACATGGCCAGAACGGCAACTCTTCATTTCTACCCAGATCTATCCTTCTCCCAGTCTTCTTATCAGTAACCAGCACCAACATCCCCCACACCAAAAATGTGGGGGCATCATCTCTGATTTGCCTCCCTTCTTCCAACTATCCACATCTACTGGAGCCTTCGCTCATAAAGTACAACAGGTGCTCCTCATTGGTCTCTGCTACCTCTCTAGCCACAAGCTGTAGGAGCTGTCACCTACTACCAAAGCGGTCCTCTTATTGGTCTCCATGCTTCCATTCCTGTCCCACATCCTTCACACAGTGGTCAGAGTGATCTTTTTATAAAATGAACGATGTCATGTGACTCCCTGCTTAAACACTTAGAATAAAATTAAAAGCACTGAGGTCTACAAGGCCCTACCTGATATACAACTTTTCCAACCTCATCTCACACCAATCACTCCTTCCTTTCCTCACTAGCTTTACCCACACTAACTACCTCTCTGTTCAGCAAGCATGCCAACTCCTTCTTTGTTTGGGCCTTTGCCCTTGCTGTTTCCCCTGCCTGGAATGCCTGTGTCCTTCTTTACATGGAATGGTAGTTTAAAACATCCACAGTTTTTGACACTCCCTTCAAGGGACTCGCTTCCAACAAAAAGAATAAGGCAGAAGTGACAATGTGTATTAGTTCTAATACTAAGTCATAAATGGCAATTTTTATACCTCAGTTAAAAGAAAAAAGTAATTATTTTTTATTACTTTATTACTATCATATTATAAGAGTCTTCTTAGAAGACTTACTCTATGGCATTGTTTCTCAACCTTTTTCACTGTGTACCTAAGAAGCCTTCTGGACATTATTTTCCTAATAGTCCTCCAATAAAATTTTAATGGCACAAACATACTGTACATCTGTTTATGTATCATGGTTCTTCAGAAGGCTACAAACCATTGTAAAATCTGAAGGTTTTTTGCTCTCCACCTCAAGAACCAGTTTTCACCCTCTTGGCAGCCATTATTGGCCCCACTGAGAATGAATTCTACAGGAGAAGCCAGCTGCCAATGTTGTGAGGAAACTCAAGTAGTACTATGGAAAGATCCACCAAGTGGGAAAGTGAGGTCTCCTGCCAACAGCCAGTGAGAAGAAAGTCAGTTGCTAATAGTGATGTGAGTGAGAATTCTTGGAAGTATATCCTTCAGTTGACTTCAGCCCCAGACTACATTTTGACTAGAACCTATGACAAATCCTAATCTAGAATAAGTAAAGATGCCTGGCTCTTAAAAACTGATAAAAAAGATATTTATTCAAGCCACTATATTTTGTGGTAATTTGTCACACAGCAATAGAAAAGTCATTTAGACCTTGGTACCTGAAAGTAGGGTGCTGCCACACCAAAAATCTAAAATACGGAAGAAGCTCTGAAATCAGGCAGTGGATGGAAGATGGCAGGTCTTTGAGGTAAAAGCTCAAAAAATCTTGAAAAAACTGTTTATAGAAGGATGATACCTTTGAGGAAGCTGGGAGTCACAGCTTAAAGTAAAGTGAGGAAAACCTTATTGGAAACTGGAGGTAAGTAAGAGAATCCTTGTTTTGTACTGGCAAAAAAAAATTAGCAACACTGTCACCTATGGGAACACAGAAAGTAGAAAATGTACTAACGAAATGTGGGTTCAAACTAAAGATTTCCAGACAAAGTACTGAAGATACTTGCTGGCCTTTTGCTGCTTATACTAAAATACAAGAGCAGAGACAGAGGATGTGATTGTAAAATCCTTTGTTAAAACTCACAAATATCTAATTTTGCACCTCAGAAAAACCATTCAAACAACAGGGCTTCTCAGAAGCTTGAGGAAGCCATCACTCCTCTAAGCTGACTCCAAGACATTTCTCGGTGTGGCTTTTATCTACCAGAATGAACCTCAAGAAGAACCAGAGGAAACCCAAAAAGGTTCTGAGGAATTTTATTGGAAAAAATGCCACCACATTATGCCTGTCCAATCACCAGATACTGGGGGTGTGGGTACAGATCAATTTGTCTCTTTAGTTCCGAAGTCTTCAAAAGGAAATATACTCAGAGGATATACTTAAGAAACTACACCCAAGAGGCCTCATTCACATCTGAAATTTATTTAGATGACAAAAATTCTGGATCTTGCATTGAGGCTATACTGGAATAAGACTTTTAGAGGGTATTAGCCTTTCAAGCGGAAAACAGAAAAATCTGTAACCAGAGGAAAGGCTGTGGTAGTTTAAAACAGGCCCACCAATTATCTGACACTTACCTTCTAAAGGTGGGGCCTAAATCCCCTCCCCTGGAGTGTGGACTGGACTTAGTAACTTGCTTCAAATGAATACAAGAAGGGAGATGTGATGGTGCGTGAGTACCATGACTAGTTCATTAAAGACACTGTGGCTTCCTCGTTGCTCTCTAATGGATCACATGCTCTGGGGGAAGCTACGTTCCATGCCATAAGG